AGACAGTGACAGTTACCAGCTGCATAGGCTTTCACACAGCGTTCTCTCCTCCGTCTTTGTTCAGTGGAAATAGTAACAAAAGATAAAGAGCCCTTGCAAAAAGGGCAGCTGTCTAACCTACCAGGTCTTATAGTGTTAGTTAACGCAAGCTCTCCACTTTATTGCAACAACAATCAAAGCTACTACAAATTAAAAATGTGCACATTTGGTCCCTTAATTCTAGTAAGATTGGAGTGGGGAAATTTCATTTCAGAACCAGGCTAGAGCTCCATAATGGGCCTAAATTAATCAAATTAACACCCATCGCTTCATCAGACTTTTAATCCAGCTGTTCTGGAGGAGAAAAAGAGAGGGACGCCCAGTTTAAATGCAGCACCAGGCAGGCAAGAAAATCTTACCTGTGTGGTGTTGCCTGGACTCTGAGTCCCATTTAACCTGAACCCTCAGCATGGGTGAGGCGCAGCAGCAGCAAGCTTGCTCAGCCATGAATAAGCCCATGTTCAGATGTTTCAAGGGTGAGGGGCATAGGATTATGCCTTTAAACTGCTTTTGATCCTTCTTTTAGCCAAGAAGGCTCCCAGAACAGCTTACAAATATCAGTAGTATTTGGCCTTAGGCTTTCTGTAGAACAGATGTGATGCACAAGGAAAATGGGGCATAGAAGGAAAAATTAAAATGCAAGCTCAGGCGCCAGGTCTTTTGGCTGCAGTGCTTACAGCCACCAGCCGGGATGGAAACCGTCTGGAGGAGAGGCTGCTGGTTAGGTGACAGGTGAGGAGTCTCTCAGCAGAAGGAAAGGAGCAGCCCTGCTTCTCTTCTAACTTTGCTTTGCAGCTGGATCGAAAGACTAATGGCTATTAGATCTGTGTGTGCCAGGGGGAGCCTGGGATTCTGTGTAGATGTTCACTATTTTTTTAACAGACAACATTATATTTCAATCATCCTCAGCTGTTACTCTGCAAAACAGATTCTTTTAATTACAGGCTGAAAGTGCAACTGCTGCTGTGCTGGTTGCAAGTAATTGTCCCATCTGCAACATGGCTAACAAATGAAAAGGAAGATTTGCTGAGCAGGCAGATGTGGTAGGAGAGGCATTATATCCACATTTGTGCTCCTGTAGGAAGCTATGCTGATGTCATTTATATTTCCTTTATTTGAAGCACTGGGCTGTCTTTCAAGGCCATCACAAAGCTCTGTGCACAATGGAGACAATGGTGTATGTGGCAGCTCCAGTGGCTGAATTTGGGATTCAATGAACCAGTGACATTTGATCTTTATACATCTTGCTTGCATTTTTCTGGGAACATTTGACTCTCTTTGACACAACTTGGTTGGTGCAAATGCTACTCTAGGCAGCACTGGCTTTCCTGTGCTGCAGGTCACTAAGGGTGAAATCCAGTGGTCTCCAACATCCTCTTCAGAGTCCCACCTCTGAGATCCTAAGGCTGGCCCTCACACTGCCCCTTTGCAGCTGGCATGGAAATGGCTGCACCAGCTGCTTCCACCCCTTGAAGTTGCAGCTGGGTCTTGGAGGGGAAACATGGGTGCCTGCTGGCGGGGCTACAGACTTGGGCTGGTTCCTATTCAGCCTCCTTCCCTCTACCTCTCAAACGCTTTATCTAGATGGCTGAAACATCACTATTTATTTATTTAGAACATTTGTATGCCGTCCCATCGCATAGCCTCGGGACGGCTTACATAAATAAAATAAAACAATACAGATAAAATTCAGATCCACCCTGGCTGTATATTAAAACCTATAAACTGACATTAAAAGTTATTAAACTCATTGAAATAAAAAGGTCTTAGCCTGGCGCCAAAAAACAAATAACGACGGCACCAGGCGGACCTCTCTGGGGAGCGCATTCCACAGATGGGGCGCCACCGCAGAGAAAGCCCTCCTCCGGGTACTTTGCCTCCTAATGTCTTTCACGGAGGGTTCCCGGAGGAGGGCCTCTGCTGCCGACCTCAGGGGGTGAGAGAGATGCAATTGCTGCACCTCATTCCTGGTATAGGTTGCATGCAAGCCTGTGAGCTCAGAAGCTTCCAAGGGTGTAGGTCATAGGATCACAGACTTCATCAACTCCATCTTCACAATGAACAGTTATAAACTCACACTAGAGCATGCTTTTATTTTAGTTTTGTATTTTAAAAATAAACTGTCTTTCATCATTGTGGATAAATCTCGGGATTTTTTAAATTTATTATTAATATGATGTTACATTTCTATGCCATTCATAGTCATAGGACAGTTCACAATATTTTAAATCACCCATCCAGATTTCAGCCAGGCCTGAACGTGCTTAACTTCTAAGATTAGGAAGGATCAGGCACTTCAGGCTATACAGGAGCTATATGTAGCTGCACTACCCCAGTAATGGAGTGATTTGGCTTGGGAAATCTGGGTTCAAATTAAAGCCCAGTCCCAGAATGACTTGATAGAATCAATTTTACTATCCTTTGTTCCCTGTCATTTATCCACCCTTGGTCTTTCAGCAGATGGCAGGACCTCTATTAAAGTAAGCTGCATTGACATGAATGGCTATTCTATAGGACCATATGGTAAACTCTTACAGCAAATGTAGCCTTGGACCCCAGCCTTTATCTGTACTTGGACAATGCTCCTGTCCTATTAGAGAATGCCCATTTTTTCCATTGCATTATTGAAAATAGGCATAATTAGTAAATTTTTGAAACACTACTTTTTGACAGGTTATCTGCAAAATAGGTAAAGTGATGAGGATGGAGCACGCAGAAAAAGGGCCAGAATGCAGAAAATAAGAAGAGCTCTGCTGGATCAGACCAAAGACCCACATAGTCCAATATTCTCTTCCAGATGCCCAAGAGAAGCCCACAAGCAGAGCATTAGTAAAACCCTGCTGCTCATGTTCCTCATCGACCAGTAAACAGAAGGGTCCGATGCTGAGGTAGTACATAGCCATCATGACTGATGGCCATGCCTGCAACCTTGTGCAGAGACGGAATGAAGTCTTTGTATTCAGTCGGGCCACTCCCCGCAGTCTGGAATGTCACTGAGATTGTGGCGTGTGCTCCAGAATCCCCTCTGAGCAGCTGCAGATGCTGTCACAACCAAATAGGATCAATGGGAATGGTTGGCACCCAAGGAGGCATCTGGACTTTGCATACTTGGGTAAGATGAAAACAAAAGGGTTTTGTTTTCAGACTGCTTTTACCGATGTTATTTGATATTGTCTGTCTTGTATATTTTTACACAGACTGTAAACCACCTTGGAAGTTTTACAGAAAGATGGGATATAGTTAATTGTAGATAAGCAAATGTAAAATGTTTGTGCAATGTGCTATACCAGCTTACCTGAATCTGGTGCTCTCCAGATGTGTTGGACTCTTAACTTTCATAATTCCTACCTCAGCTAGCATGGCTAATGGCTGGTGCACCTGGAGGGTAGCAGGTTACAGAAGGCTGCGTTTGACTAGCTGGGAATGATGGGAGTTGTAGTCAAACATATCTGCAAAGCACCAGGTTGGGCTGGGCTGCCTTTAGTCATGCAAGTACCCAGCATAGTTCAACTTTTTACAACAGAAGCCATGGGTGGCGTAGTCAACTGGATGGATAGCAGAACATCTATTCTTGGAAATGGATTCCATGCACACAAAAATACCAAGCCCCAAGTTATTCCAGTGTGTGATATAGACACACAGATTATGGTTTGATCAGGCAAGCCTGAAGTTTTTGTCACATGTGGAATGGCTGTTCCCTGCGAAGGCACTTAAAGCTTCCAGTTGAAATTGCCACAGTTCATGGTGCAATCTTGTACATGTTTGCTCTGGACTAAGTTTGCTAGTATGCATGTTTAGGAGCACAGCCGAACAGTGCAATTCTATAGTTTTCTGCTTAGAAGGAAGCCCAGTTGAGTTCAGTGGGACTTCCTTGCAAGTAAGCATGCATAGGATTGCAGCTGACATGTCTTTTCAGGTAAGCAGTCAAAACTTCTCCTAGAACTGTTAATTGCCTTTTCCTCCTTAACTGCCGCTTCCAATGCCTTTTGCCTTTGCTCCTCAGGTGGCCAGTGCGGGAGACAGAATCCAAATCCTTAGAGAGCCAATGCATATGCATGCTGCTGTCCTTCAGAGGCAACTCATCTGATCGATTGCTCTTTCACTAAGTGGATTCTTAGGTGATCATAGGGGTCATGAGCTTGGGGTGGTGAGCCGGCTATCAACAGGGACCTGGCATTCTGCATCTCTTCCATGGTATCCTCGTGGGCTGACATTGCAATATGGCGGGTTTGAGCCTGCCTTAGACAATAATTTGGAAACTGTAGCTAATGTAGAATGCACCCTACCTCTGGACAGGTCTGGGCTACAGGAAACCATTATGCTATTCTGGCTCATCTGTACTGGCTCGGTTTTCTTCCAGTGCCACTTCAAAATGCTGGTTTTAACTTTTAAAGCCCTGCACAACCTGGGGAGTTTCAGGACTGCCTCGAGTATGTTCAGCTAGCATGCATATCATGGGTCCCCAAGGTTTATGAGTCAGTGGACAGACCTGGAACGCTGAGAGAATGTCATCGGTGCTCTCGCAAAATGGTCACCATGGAGGGAGCCTTGCCTGTTCATAAAATGGTTGCCATGATGAGCATGGCTGATTGCAAAACACTCCTTTGAAGCATGCTAGCCTCCCAGTTCTAAAAATAACCATTAAAATATATTGAAAAATAAAAAATAGAAGGGGCCTGATGGATGCCAAGTGGAGTCCATGGGCACAGTGCTAGAGATCCCCAATATATGTGGGTGCAGAGGAGTTTTATGCTGGGCTAATTCATCCATATTCCTTTTCAAGAGTTACTCTACATTTACAGTGGAAAGGTTCTTCATTTGAGCACAACATAATTCTTTAACTGGGAAGAAAAGAATCAAAGCAAGTGTCCGCCAATCAGCCAGTCTACTCAATCGAAAGCATGTGAACAACCTCTTCCTATACAGCTCTTCGAAGCAGAAGAAAACTCTTACGCAATGTCTTCTAGTTGCAATTCACTTTCACACACTTTTATTTTGAAATATATCGGCAAGCACACACACAGAGAGACACATATATATTATGGCAACTATTTAACATGCATTTAATGCTGACCATGTGCTAGGCACTCCACAATTTAAGCATATTTTTAAAGTACATAAAATACAGCTTTCCAGCAAACAACCCAGTACAATCCCCATGGATGCATGATGTAATGAAAGATTGTTTTCTCACACACCCCAAATACATTAAGACGCATCTGCAATAGGATCACCCACAGTGGGTCACTTCCTTTCATCTCTGATGGAGGTAGAACGGAACACAATTGATTTGGGGGATTGGGTTGTTGTTGGTTTTGCTCTATTATTTTATTTACGCAAGTACAATATTCCCTTTCCTGGCCCTTTGAAACCAGAAAAAAGAAACAACATAATAGCCAGGCATTCTTTCACATCACAAAGCAATGCTGGAAGGTACTGTTCTCACTTCTCTCCCTCCAACCAAATTTTCATTCTGAATTCAGAACTGCGAATTCTTCATCACTGTGGCCCTGGGTAGCCCAGTGCCATCAGGCCAAACCAAGTAATATAAAGATTGCAGCTCTTTTCCTCAGGCATTTGGTATTTCCAGCAATTGCCTGGAGTTAAGTAAATAAGATTTTTTTTAAAAAAAGATTCTGTCTGTTCTGCAGATGTGTTAGGAACCTCTAGGTCACTGGCTTCATTTCCTTTGAATCCCTGAGGGAAGGGGATTGCTAAAGATAGGTATGAAATGGAAAATAATCAGTCTTTTAAATATAAAGCAAAGCAAGACATAGCTACATTATGGCTTCAAGTATGTATGTAAAAACAATACAATCATCTCAAAAGACTTCTGCAGTGGCTCAGGTGGCTCAGACAATCCAAATTCTGCACAAAAATTATGTAGTCAAGGTATATCTGCATAAATTCTTACTTTGCAGAATTTTGTCTGGTTTTGCTAGTCATGAGAAGGAACACGAATTTATGTAAGTCACCAAAGCCCTATTTGGACTGGAAATCTTACAAAGCTACCTCTTTATTTTCTAAAATTTTGGGAAGCATTGTCCACACAGTTTCAAACAGATCTTCATAATCAAGAGGGCTAGATACTTGGCTTTTTTTTTTAAAATAAATTTCCAAGAAGCTGAGTTTTTCCCCTAGTGCCATGTCATGTGTTTCTGCTGTACTGCTACTTACACCCACAGTGCCAGTATGTCATATATACATTTTAATACACAATTCTGTGCAAGTTTGGCCAGAAGAAATGCCTACAACTCCCAGCTTGCCTCAGCCAGCACGCCAACAGTACTCTACTGAACAAAAAATATTATTCCTTAATGAGTAGCAGATATTCCTGCACCCAATAGTAGCTAGTCAATGGAAGATGAAAAGTGTTACACAGCTGGCTGAAAACTTGCCCCCTCAAAATAATGCTCAGGCCTCCTTCTGAGATTTTATCAGGCATTCTCTATGCTTTCACAGGCCTGGCTTGACTAATTCACCGAGTCAGCCTAAGGCATTTAGCTACTCCAGGTACAGTCACAGATGCTTGCCCCTGCCCTGGATCATGGGGCACAGTATCCAAGACCAGTCAAACTATTCCAGCGACTGATGCAGAAAATCCTGCCCCTAGCTTCCCCCTGGCAAAGAGTTTGTTGGCCTTTTATGGTGCCCCAGATAAGCTTCCTGACCCACACATAACCCTGAGTATGGCAACACAATAATGGCAGGTGAGGTGGGCAAGAAACAACTATTGCTGCCCAGCATGAGTCATCCAGCGTACCCCGGATGGCATCCCTACCTCCAATGAGAATGAACAAGCTGGACTGGTTGTACCGGGTGCCCCAGGAACTGTCTGCGGCACACTTGGGAAAGCAAACGCTGATTCCACTGCAAGCTCCTCCCACCCACCATTTTCTGCTTGTTGCTTCACTTCTAAGCATGAGCAAGAGGTCTTTGCCTCCCTCTAAAGTGAACCACAGCATTCTGAGGTAGAATAGTTCAGTTCCCTTCTGAGGGAACTGAAAGTAGGGAGAAAGAGAGTTGGTGAACACTGAAGCTGCCTTTCACTTGAGAATCAGAAGGGCTAAGAGATGCTTCAGAAGGGAATTCCAGAGGGAAATTCCTAGTCCATGCCCAAAAAAGTGGAAAGCGGGCTCAAAACCATTTGCTAGCAGCAGGAGAGACACATTCTCCATCAGAAACCCAGCACCAGGAGAAGAATTTGCCTCTTATAGGTTCTTTTACAAACTACCATATATTAAAGGGTTGAGGGGAAAAAAGGATTGTTTTTGCCCAGGATCAGTCACTTACCAGAGAGAGATGGACCTCCTGCAAGGACAGAGTTCAGACAAACCAGCAGAAGTGATTGTGCAGTCCTCTATTTTGGCCTAGTGGTATTATGGAAAGCAGCAGCTCCACATACTGGGGGTCATTCTTCTACAACCTGATGCCCCCTCCCCCCAGAGCTTGGAAAGGGTTTTCTTCCCAACTTATAAAAGAGGAAAAGTTGGTGCTTAAGGCACTGCAAGCATGCTCCTTGGAAATGAGATTCAATTCAGAGGAAGGGTTCAAAGGCAGGGTGTCAAGACATCAAGAAGGAAAATACTTTCTGAACGGAGTGTGAGGGAATGAATACAGCTCACTTTAGCTTCTTTAAGCCAAAAAGGACTTTATGAAACAACAACTTACAATGAGGAGCTCGAGCTCCACATGCTTGCCAACCTCTACTGATGAGGATACTTTATTTTCACTGAAACACTTGGTGAAATAGTCAAGACGAATGGCAGAGAAAGTTGAGCACTTCTAATTCCTATTGATTCAATGGATAAATTAGCACAGGCTCAACTCTGCCACTGAAATCAGTGGAACAGGTGTTCCAGTACAGTTCCCATCATTATCCAATCATCAGGCTCACTGAAACTGATGGGAGCTGGAGTCCAACAACATCTAGCAGGCTCATATTTTCTGCTCTTCAACAGAACATACAGCCTGTCTATCTACTTATTTACTCAGAAGCAAGTCTCACCAATTTCAGTAACTCTTGTGTATGGAACTGTAGCCTTAAAATGTGCTTAATATAGCTGCAACGTGCTTAAGGGAAAGCAGAGTTCCAATAGCAGGAAATCAGTCACTGTTTTCATCCATCATCTGTGTAAGGCAAATGTAGCTTTTGGCTTCTGATTGTCAGAAGAGTAAACAATTGTGATGGAAGCCAAAAAGCGAACACACATACAGTTTCTGTCCTTGGTTCCTAAAAACAAAACCCCTTTCTACCCATTCCCATGCTCACACTACCAGTTCCTTAACAAGGTTAACTGCAATTATGCTAATATGCAGGGGATGGAGTGACATCCTTTGGATTAAGCTGGAAGAGAAGTAAGGCCATATTCAATCCATTAACAAAGACTGGCTTTCTCTGCTGACAGGAGGATTAGTGCAGAGCAGTTAAAACCCACTGGAGTGGTGACGAGAGACTCACTTATAAATGCTGACTTCTGTACCTGGGCTAGGAAATAATCAGGTGGATGAAAGAGTGATCCACATCTCATAAAGTATGGTAGGGGGTACCTTTTCTCTTTCCTCTGAAATACTTTAGGGACCATCCACAGATCTTAAGAGGGTGCTAATTACATAGATGTTCCTTGGGTGAATCCACAGACAGATCTACATGGCATCCCCATCAACCATCTGATAATGTCAAAACCAAAAACAGTGTAGGAGTTGATCAAAGCACATACACATATAACAAGCAATGATGCTGCATGTTGGTCATGCTTCTGCTTTTGATGCAGAGGAAACTGCAAAAGGCTACAATTAACTGGACTCAAGAGTGTTCTTTAAAAGGATTGGTTCTTTTCAAGAAACATCCTGGAGGAAAGTGCATCCCTTTTTTCTTCTCTGGCACTGTGAACTCCACTCCCTGTCATGATTTTCACTACTGGCCTCCGTGGCCTCTTGAATTAATAAATCTTGTCCCACACTCAGTTTCACCTCTTCTTATAGTACTACATCATGAATCTTCTGCTCTGGAATCTCCGTGTAGATGATTAACAAGAGGAGGCTATCCTGGAACAGGAGCTGGCAAATACATTGGGTTTCCTTTGGTTGTTCCTTGGATCCACCTCTTTGAAAGTGTCACCACAGAGCAGTAAGTCAATAGCTGGCATGCAAGTGGCCAGCAACACTTTTCTTCTCTGTCATTTGCTGAAGAAGCGCCGCACCACAAAATGGCCCAGCAAAATAATTGCTGCCATTGTCACCATATATTTCCAGTAAACATTACTCAAGTTCAGTGCAGCCGCCTAGGGAAAGAAAAGTACAGTTACTTACGAAACCAGGACACCCTTCCCAATCATCCCCAAGCTGTTCTAGGTGTAGACATGTATTTATGGCTTTCAAATCTTAATATGGGCTGCAAAGCCCATGTAGGATAATTCATGAAAGTCATGCTTATATTTCTGATTGGAAATTATACATCATACCAGTATAATTCATTGCTTACATGATGGCAGTGCATACTCTGTGAATTCACGTTTAATTGCACTGGTCCCTAGGATAAGATCATCTGATGAATGTTCTACATGTACAAATTGTGACACATTTTCTGTGTTTCTAAGTAGGAAAATGTATACAGCTGCCCTCATCTGCCTTGACATACAGAACCTGCTTCTGTTGAGGGATACCTGAGGTGACATGTGACAACTGTGGCAAAGAAACTACAACTGATCAGGTGGAGGATGAGGAGTGGAAGAGCCAGCAGCTGGCCCAGATGTCCGTGTTGCTATAAAAAGCTGCCAACAGGTGGCTCAAATGCTACCTGGCCCATTATAGAAAAGACTGTCAAAGACGACCAGGCACAAATACCATGGCTCTGCGATAGACCACAGGCTTTAGATGGATGGTTGGCAGTATCTGGCAATCTGGGGACAATTCCCACTGCTCCAAACCTTCCCCCCATACTGCTGAATTTGCTGCAAAAATGCAGCAATGCATAATGGAAATAGCCCTTTTTGCTTTTGTAACACCCTTTTAGTTCATAGTGACTACAGAATTCCAAAAGAGGCACGTTTACTATGCAAAGATACTGAATTTAGGCCCTTTGTAGCCACTATCAGTCATTTTTTCACGGGAAATTAAAAAATAGGGACTGCATGTGACCCACAGACTGTGTGTTGCTCATGCAACACACAGTCTGCCTGCCTTAATATAATGAAAATCCAAATTCAGCAGCACCGGCTGTATAGCAACAAAGCCAGTGCCCTCCCCGTGTGGGACACTCGTCTCTGCTTCAGTTCGGAAGGTGCAAGTTTCAGTCCCTGGTATCTCCTGGCAGGGCTGGGAAAGACCTGTCTGAAATTCTGGAGAGCCATCTCCAGTCACTGTGGAGGTGGAGCAATGGCTGGACCAGGTGGAGCAAAGGCTTTTCCTAGAGGTCAGACAGAAAGGGGTGCACCTGCCACTGACATCATAGCCTTTACATCTACAGGAAAGGAAGAGATTTGATACTGGACCACAGAACCCTTCTTGGAACATAGCTAGACAGGTTCATGTGAAGAGACGCAAGTGAGAGTTTAGTGCCTGGGTGCTTTCAAAGACCACTCATCTAGCAAGGCCCTTAGGTCCACTTACCCATCCTCCTTGCTGGGCAATCCACCGAGCGATGTGATTGCGAAGCACAAAGTCCGCTATGTAGCGTGCGATTCTCCTCAGAAAGCCCGTCAACCCGTGCTGGTACACATGGATTGCCATCCTGTAGCCAAACCCCAGCAGTGCTATCACACGGCCCCAGTTGATGCCGCTGTCAAACAAACTGTGAAGACAATATTTTTTCTTCTAAGAGGGGCTAGTTTCATGGCTGGTTCTTAGCTGCCCTCTACTGGCCCACTGCTTGTTCGCATCCTGCTGGCTGCAATAAAACATCTCCAGGACACCCAGGCATTAGAAAGTATGCCAATGCAAGCAGAGCACAAACACCTTGCTTCTAACCAGACCTGCATACTATCAAGGGAGAAAGACTCCACATACAGGCCTTCATCACAGCCCCAACATCCTAGTCAAGCTGTTACTCTAGCATATGTAATCAGCAGGGCATCTGTAGGTATATAGCTAGAGATAGTATCGAGCAGGCTGTAGTGCAGAATGAACTGAGCTTGATGAGGGAGGTCAAGAACAAGAAGAGCTTCTTCAAAGATGGTTAATGTAAGAGGAAAAAAGTAATGGTAGACCAGCAGCTTAGCAAATACTGAGAGGCGGGTGACAGAAAGGCAACATTGTTAAGTTGCTATTTTGGCTCAGTTTTCTCCCAAAAGAAAGGCTGTATCTTATCTAGAATACATGATAAATTGGCTGATAGGGTAGGAATGCAACATGAGCTTAGGACAGGGGTTGGCAACCCGCGGCTCCTGAATCCCTCTGCTGCGGCTCCTCGCTCAAAATACGTGTCACAGCCGCCGATCTGCCACCAAGGCTCCGAGTTACAAAATACCAATAGGTGATGATGAGGCATCCACTCGGAAATGCCAACACCGCCCGTGCTAGCTGGTTAAGTAAATTGCTACATTCCTCTGCTATTGTGCAGAGAAAGAGTGGAACAAGCTTCCTGCAGGCTCTCGTTACATAAAATGCTGCAGAAAAGATTCTCTTTGTCCAAATTTGATCTCCTTCATCTGAATGTTAAAAGCTGAGCTTGAGACCTGTCACAATTCACATCACTTGACTGTTTATCTGCTAATCAGTCGCTAGACACACCTATATCTGCGACCTGTGCCAGCACAGCTGCCAATCTGCGACCCGCGCTGATTTACTGAGCTCCCCCCACCCCCGTAGGCCAATCACGGATAAATCAAAGAAAAGTTTCTGAAGAAAACCGAACATTTAATGGTACGTGGGTAGATTCATATGCTTTTACTGCTGATGAACTTATGGGGTTTGCGGTTTAATGCATGCAGCCCTGACTCTGCAGGAAGCTGTTCTCCTATTCAAAATATATGAAAGGAGTCCTACTAGTTTATAATGTAAGATTAAAAATAGTTTTTAGTGACTGAACAAGAGCTGCAGCTAAATCATAATGAAGATATAGATCTACTTCCTTGTTTTAAGAAGATTCTTATAAAAATTCCAGCAACATTATTACACTGGGAGTGGGATGTTTGTTCAATATTTCACCAAAGTATTATTTATATTTGTTATATTGCAGAAACTCTACTTACTGTATGAAAGTATCAATTAGTCTTTTTTTATTCAGGTTGACAGCTGACTGCACCCTCCAGTACACATGATAAAAGGATGAGGGCACACAGAAGCAGGTGGCATGTTTGGTTGGCTGCAGGTGGATAATTTAAGTTTGGCTTTTTATTTCATAAATACAAGGAGGACTCAAATAGACATTGAGTATTTTATTTGAAAGTAACCTTCGACCTAGCATCTTTTTTCAGAGTTCATAATGTTTTTGTTGCATGCAGAAATTAAAAATTTGTTTCCTCTGTAGCAGTTCATTGATTTCATAAATGCAACACACTATAGTTTTTTTATGCATAGCAAAAAGGTAAAAACGATATATGCAGTGTTATCTTCATTTCAGATGTCAAAAGGTTTTTGCGGCTCCCAGTGTTTTCTTTTCTGTGGGAAACGGGTCCAAATGGCTCTTTGAGTGTTAAAGGTTGCCGACCCCTGGCTTAGGAGAATGAGTTCAAGTCCCCAGGACCAGAGGAAATGCATATTAGACTGTTCAAGGAGCTACACACACTCAGAAATCCTGAAGAATGCGCTGTTTGACATTAACACATTCTGGAAGTCAGATAGATGTCTCAAAGGCAAGCCCTGCCGGACGCATGCTATTTCAGGTTTTGTATCAGGTAACTTCCTTAGTGGAACACAGAAATGCTGTGGATCTGTCTTGACTTCAGCAAGGCAATTGCCAACGTGCTCCATGCCATTCTGATTAGCAGGCTGCATGGCACTACTACCAGGTGGATCCACAGAGGCCTGGAGAACTGCACACAGAGTGCACAAGTGCCCATCAGCAGTCCCTCACTGAGATAGAGGGCGAGGTTCACAGGGTCTGGTCTTGGGCCTTGTACAGTTCAACATTTTTATTAATGGCATGAACTAGAGGTGGGGGGACGGCTTATCAAATTTGCAGATTACACAGAATTGGGTGGGATACCTAATACCTTACAAGAGATAAACAAAATTCAAATGAGGTTAAGAAGTTAGAAAACTGGGCAGAAACTATCAAGATAAATTTAACAGAGCCGAATGTATTATTTAGGAAAGAGAAATCAAATGCATAGGTATAACATAGAACCTGTCTAGCTTCACAGTAGTGTGTATGAAAACGTTCTTGGTGTTGAGAGCAAGCTGAACAGGAGTCAAAGGTGTGATGTAGCTACAAAAAAGGACTGAAGTTTAGACTGCATGAATAGAAAGGTTCTAAGTCATGGTATAGTTTCACCTTACTCAGGACTGGCCAGATATCATCCTGAATATTAAGATAAACTGACAGAAGTTCAAAGAAGGGCAACAAAGATGACTGTGGAATAGAAACAAGGAAACACTGAAGGAACTAAGTATGTTTAACTTACAGAAGATAAGATTAAAGGGGGATATGATAGCACTTTTTGCATCCTTCAACAGTTGTTACACAGAAAAGCCACATTCTGTTCACGTTCATGCAAGACCGGGCTTAAGTTGAGTAATGAGCTAAGTTACAGAAGGCAGATTTTGCTCGAACATCAAGAAAAACTTCCTAATGGTCAGAGCAGTCAGTGGAACCAACCGCCTTGGGCTCTCCACCACTGGTGGTATTAGGCAAAGTCAAGATAGCCACCAGTAGGGAATGCTTTTAACAGTATTTCTGCACTCCATGGTCTAAATGTCCTCTCCAACTCTGTAATTCAGTGGAAACAGACAACACTTTAGAGCAGCCATCCCAACCTGGTGCTCTGTAGATGCATTGGGAGTTGTTGTTCAACACACCTGGGGAACAGCAGGCTGGGGAAGGCTGCTATACAACTGAGATGCAAAACTATGACACGACTTGCTTAAGCCTCTGACGACACCTGCTTTGGAAAAACAGACTTGTGAGAGCTGGTAATTTCTGCATCTACCCATACAAGCACAAGAGACACCTTCTTCTGTATTATGCCTGCTCCACCTATTAAATGTTTAGGATCAGATCTGCTCAGGGCACCCCAGCCTGGGGGAAAGAAGCTGGGCTTTTTCTCTGGTCACTCTCTCTACAGAACTCTCACCTCCTCCTGCTGCACGTTCTACAAGGCTTTATCCAACACACTCGGCCAGCCGGCTAGCATTGTTACTGTGATTTGGTTTTGTTCTTATCATTCATTTTAAAGGTTTATTGATTATGCATGCATTTTAACAAGGTGACAGTTGCCTGGAAAGCCTCTTTGGCTGATTGGTCAGACAACATTTTTCACAGCAGCCATTAATAAAAATGCAACATTGTAAGGGAAATTCAGAATTATGACATGGCTGGATGCTGCACTCCATAACCTTGAAGATTTGTTTAGCAGGCATAATATGGAATGAAGGAGGTTACACATATTAACTACTCAAAAGAAAGAAAAGGAAAGCACTGTATGTTAATTTACCTGGTTGTAGTGCAATGACCACCTCAAGGTGGTAAAGCAGTGAGAACAACGCCACTTGACTTCCCAAGGAAGGGAGAGCAGGAAGAGAGGACAGAAGAGACAGTTAAACAACATTGACAGAGAACAGGGAGTAGACAGGTGTGCACCTACATATAGGTGTGGATATACTGTGGGTTCCTTGGAAGCACCCACAATGTGATCAGAATTCACAATGTATCCACCAGTTCATGAAAGCTGGGGAGCTCCGCAGCAGCGTGTGCTTTCTCGAAAGCAGAGATGGGAGCTCCCTGAGAAGGAGTCCAGCAGGCTACTCCAGAGTAGACAATACCTGTTTGGAACTTTCTTAGATTGTTTGGCAGTCATGGCTCCTCTTCGGCAAACCACCCCCGCCATTTTGCTAATAGTCCCATGTGCCAATGGGTGGATGGGATGCAGCCCAACTGAATGCACCCTCTAAGAACTTCTCTGAAATTGAATTCTCCCCTCCGGCTGAAAGAGGGTCCGCAACTACAGGTTTTTGGACATGACTGGGGTGTTTTTAATAGCAAAGTAAAAACAAGCCTTCTGTTCAGGTTTGTCAGAGACAGAGGAAAAACAGAAACAATAAAAAGCATTGTGACACTTTAAGGGCTATTCTGGCACAAGATTTCACAGCCTTTTGCTTCACTTCATTAGTGGACTATATTCTATGAAAGCTTATGCCTTAATAAATGTGCTAGTCTTTACCAAAGACTTGTTTTGCTACAACAGACTCATATGGCTGCCCCTCTGGAAAAGGTTAAATTGGAGATGCTGTTAGCCCATTCCTGTGTCATGACCCATCCAAACCTGTCCCCATTTGAATTACAACAGCTTTTGAAAACTCTAAAGGTCCATACACCACTTAGGAAGCATGTGGAATACAGACAGGAATAGCAATGTCTATTTAAAACAGAAGAAGGATTTTGGAACCAAGGTGGTGGTTAGCCTCCTTACAAAAATGTCTAGGTGAGTATCTGGTTAAAGCAACAGCAGCTGGCTCAAGAAGGAGGAAGCAAAGAACTGAGAATGGGGTTTAGAATCAGACCTCATACAATTCATTTGCATATTTAACCTTGTTCTGCCCCTTTCTTATGAGGGGACTCTACATTTAGGAACTCCAATGTAGAAAAATCCAACCTGTCGGTTACATTTCTGAGAGAGTGGGTGTTTCCCTGTCCAGCCTACCTGGAGGCTATATTGATGAAATAATCATAGGCGTTGTCCGCCGTTGGCTGGAGCTTCTTAAGTATATCTGAGAACTCCTTGTCATAGCGTGCATTGATGTCATCGGCGATGATGACCAGGCGTCTGCCCACCTGGCTGGAGATGCTGGCCAAAAGACAAACGAAAGTGTTACATAGGAACGTGGAGGCAGACAAGCATGTGGCCACCCCTTGTGCATTGGGAAGAACAGAGTTTAAGATCTGTACACTCTACCTGTTCGGCTCCTGAGGCATCTCAGCTATTTCTGGGTCAGGTGGCACTGCCCCCTCCCTCTGCTCCTGCTGATAGCGGTAGAAAACATAGCTCTGGAACACCTCCTCAGTCTCCTGAGCCACCTGGTTTTCTGCAGAAAGGACAGTAAGGCAGTATCAGGAAGCAGCTGCTCCAGCTAGACTGTAGATTTATAATTTAATGAGAGCCAAAGCATCTCATTCAATTCAGCTCTTATTAAATGATACACATCTATTGAAAAAGTAGACAAATTGTCCAGTGTGGTACAGCAATCCTTTGATGAGTGCTTCATTTCCCAAATCATAGTGAATAAGAGGCCTAAATGGCATTACAGCCAAGTAGCTCAAAGATTACCCCCCTTCCCCCCCCACACACACTTGAACCTGCCCATCACTAGCTTCAAAAGCTTTCTCTCGGTTCCCCTCTTTTGAAGGTCATGTGTTTTTGGCAGTTCCTTTGCTGTCTTTAAGGAGCCAGAGCATTTCTGTCCTTTCCTGCCTTTCAGTGAGTGATACTTTCATTTGTTCTTCTATTGTACAGTACCTATTTAAGCTGGATTCTTATTCACTAAAGCAGCGAGCTGTGCTGGTAAGAGGGCAAAGCTGCGGACCTGGGAGATCTGGGTTCTAGTTCCCACTCAGTTATGAAGCTTCCTGGGTGACTTTGGGCTGGTCACTAACTCTCAGCCTAACCTAGTTTGCTGTGCAGATAAAATGAAGCAATGTAAGCTGTCTTGGATCTCTCACAAGAGGAAAAAAGACAGACATAAATGCAATGTAACAACAGCATCATTGTTGTCACCATCTCATTATCTGCTTTGCCTCATTCCTTTTTTAAATTGTCTTTTTGGTAACACTTTGATGACCTTTGGTTAAAAGGTGGGAATAAATACCATAAATAAATAAACTGGTATTTGGCTTTGAAGCACCACCACAATATCCAGGGATTGGAAGATTCGTGAAATACCATGCAAGGAAAGAAGTAATGTCTATCTAGCTTAACACAGTTTTTGTGCACCTCAACACAGTGAGCACAAGAGGGCAGCACAAAACCAACCCAAACCACAAAGAAAAATACCATATTAAGAAGATGCAGAAGAGAACCAAAAATTCAGAGCTACTGAACACATCCATGAAGGGCCAACAAGACATGCTGGTAATTGTGTCGATAGGAGTTTTCCTTGAAATGCACATGGCAGCTTCATGCAATGCACATTATTTGTACCATATGCATACTTGTAATCATAAAGACTATCATTTATAACTGGGAATGTTCAAGTCTGTTTTCAGCTCGGACAACTTTGTAACTTTCTGAAACACAAGTTTGTTCCTTCTGGTCTGGCATTAGTTTTCAAGGCTTGCTTGGTTAAAAGCCAGTAGAAAAACAAATATTTTGAAATATTTCTTCTAATATCTTCAGTTTTGCATGCATTTCAGTACAAATTGCTAATGTACTGGAAGATGCACATATAAAGCTCCTGATTTTGTACACATATCTCTGGATGTGCACAAAAATGCACACATCTTTTGATCCCAGAACAGCATTGCAAAAGTCAGAGAACTCAGAAACTGAAGGGTAATGCAATCCAATCTACACATTCATTTGGCAAGTGAGAATTAGGTCATTCTGCATTAAAAGGTGGAGGAAACAGATCTTCCCCCTATCCTTAGTTCTTACTGCAAGACAGAAAATAGAAATTGCATGTGGTATAATGGATTTAGGGAGCGTAGAACTTGGGAAGCTCAGGTTCAAATCCCACCTCAGCCAAAAGCTCACTTTTGAGCTTTCCTTCAGCCTAACCCCCTTCCCCTATCCCTGCTATTAGTTTCCAGGATGCCTAGTTTATACTAATGCTGTAAATCTGCTCACAAGTTAATTCTTCCTTACCAAATGTAGTTTTTTAAATCAAATCTATACACATTTTAAAAATATCTTGGCTGATGGAAAATGACAACTTCTATCACAACCGCAAAACAAATCCCTGGCTTCTGTGGCATCCAACCCAGTGACAAGATTCTTTTTAAAACCACAAATCTTCCAACTTATCAAATATCCAGGAAAGCAACAACATGCCTGAACATGATGAAGATGGCTTCCCAAACTGCTGCATGTGTGCCGTGTTATAAGTGTCTGTTCAGCTCTCATTCAGCAGATGAGGCTGCATCCCTATAGGGAGATGCTGAGCACACTGCAAATGACAAACATTTCCCTTTCCTTGAAACAACCCACTCATTCCCTCTTCTTCTCTGCACCTTTGCAGAGTCTGATCTCTCATGTGTTACAGGAAGATGGACCAAAGGGAGGTCAACCAAAGGACATTCAATACCAGCCTTCTGCAACTTCATGCCCTCCAAATACATTTTACTGGAGTTCCCAGCATCCCAACCAGCATGACTATCAACCACGCTGGCCATGGGCACTGGGAATTGTAGTCCAACCTGCCTGGAAGGCACTGGGTTAAGAAATTTATTTTATCTACTTTATTTATTTTATCTATTTTATTTTATCTATTTATTTATTTAAGAATTTATTTTATCTGCTTTATTAATTGCTTTATCAACTGTACTGTATGCTCTGCTAGCATATGTAGGCAAGCACAGAGAAACTTTGGGTTATGGGGTGGCATAAAAGTGGAATAAAATAAACAAACAAACAAATCTGCCATGGTGCCCAGTTCACCAAGAAATCCATATGACTAAAACAAAAAGATTATTACATAGCAAACTCTAACAGTAAGTAACCGTGCTGCATCTCACTTACTACACTATCATTGGTATGTGCAACAATTACCAATCCTACAATCCCTTTTAAAGGCCAAGGAGAATGCTAACTGATGCTAATGTAAAAACACCACTCCAGGGCATTGCTGAGAAATCAAAAGCCAGTGCATGCTTTGCCCAGGACCAATAAAAGGTTTGGAAGACAGTGTGGGGAAGCAGCAAAGTGAAAGAAAAACAAATGCAAACAACCAACTCCTATCAGAATGGGAACTGGTTGCTAAACTTCTAAATACACTGCTATTTGTATGGGCGTAGCCCATACAAATAGCAGTGTGTTTGTGTGTGTGTTTCCCAGGCTCACTGAAGTTTTAAACCCAGTTCATTGCTAAAGAAAAGAGAGAAGCACTCCCATTATCATCTGAAAAAAGTTATTATTATTCCATTATCATCTGAAATTTTTTGAGGGCAAAAACTCAGCCAGCTTGTCTTTCCTGATTTTTTTTGCTGCTGTTGTACAAGGCTAAGGACTAAACTAGATTGGGTTCACAAGACAAATCAACCCATGCTGGGTTGTTACCCAAGCAACCAGCCCTATCATAAGCATGGGAAATTGGTTACTGAGCTGATTGGCAAGAGGAGCCAAAACCCCTTGCTACCCTTGCCAAGTGTGCCTAGGCAGCCATCAGTGCCAGCCGTCCCACAAGTTGCCAAAAGGCACCTGGAAGCTGCTACCACTGGCTCGTTGCCCTCCCCACCAGGGCAACAAGACATTTCTGGTTTACCATGGCTCTTCCCCCTTTTTTCCGAGACTGTGAAACTGGCTTATTATTTTTTTTTATTTAGAAAATTTCTATGCCACCCCATTCGCCGAAGCCTCGGGGCAGCTCACAAACATAAATAACTTCGATAAAATAATATAAATTAACAGTATAAATTAAGTCGCCCTGGCCAAAGAATAAAATAAATAAATACTATTAACAGTTAAAATGACATTTGAATAAAAAGGTCTTCGCCTGGCGCCGAAAAACAAATAGCGCCAGCGCCAGGCGGACCTCTCTGGGGAGCACATTCCATAGATTGGGCGCCACTGCAGAGAAAGCCCTCCTCCGAATACCTACCCTCCTAATATCCTTCACGGAGGGTTCCCAGAGAAGGGCCTCTCCCGCAGATCTCAGGGGTCGGGCAGGCATATATGGACGTAAGCGCTCCTTCAGGTAACCAGGGCCCAAGCCGTTTAGGGCTTTATAGGTCATCACCAACACCTTGAATTGGGCCCGGACTTCAATGGGAACTGGAGTCATGTGAACATAATGCCCAGTCCCCGTCAGCAGCCTGGCAGCTCTATTTTGAACCAATTGAAGTATCCGGACCGTCTTCAAGGGTAGCCCCACGTAGAGCGCGTTACAGAAGCTGGGAAGTCACCAATGCATGTGTCACTGTCGCCAGGCAGTGGTACTCCAGGTAGCTTGACAGCTGGCTTTTACCATCCCTGTTTTGACAGCCACTAAACACCCCTTCAGAGTGACTGAGTGGTGCCTTGAAAGGGCTGTCAGTGACTTGCAGACTCATATTTCCATAATCACGCAATGCTCTCACAAATGCTGTATCGGTTTCTCAAGAGCCGATTCTTAAGCTATGAAAATGACCTCATCTGTGTGCCAGAAGTGAGACATCAATGGCTTTGGGGAGCCTTAAGAAATGGTGCAGTGAAATCGGGGCTTCCAGGGACGCAGCACCATCACTTTTTGTTAGCAGGGATCCTGATGTCCTCTGATACCTTCCTCGGGGTTCTTTGTTCCATCTGAACTTTCCTTTAGTCTTCACAGGCCTTGTGTGTATGGAGGTGAGGAATAACTTTTTTCAGCAACACTATATTGGCCAGTTCACATGATCATGGTGAGAGAAATAAGAAACGATGGCTTATTTCTGCTCACCACATGCCCACCAGGTATCCTCAACTACCTTTGCTCCAGGTGGCAGAGTTTGCTTGCAGGGGGCAGGGCAGACAATGGCCTGTGGGGTATTTGAGGGCTTCTGCCCCCTCAAAGAGGCCAGGCTGCCTGGCTTCCGATGACACAGCAAGCCGGCTTGCTAATCTTGGGTCAGTCATGGTGAGTTAGCCCTGTTGAATTGAAAAGTATTTGGGGGTGGCTTATTCTTTGATGTGCAATCAAACACAACAGCTTTAGTTTTCATCCTGGTAGAGATGAAAACTAATGGCATGTCGGTATGGATCAACCCAGCAACCTGGAATTTTGGACTCTCCTGTGCAGGTGGTAATACTGGGGACTCTCGTGATGAATTCAGTATCCAGGACAAGGGGCAGTCTGCCTCAGTCTCCCGGCTGCTGCTGCCCACTCAAGCAGGAGGGTGTCCCTTGCCCTGGTGATGA